ACGGTGCATTGGAAGTTTTTCGAAAGCTGCCTGAGAAGGATGTTATGACTTGGACAGCCTTGATTTCTGGCTTTGCAATGTGTGGACAAGGGAAGAAGGCTTTGGAGCATTTCCATGAGATGCAGATGAGTGGAGTGAAACCAGATGCAATAACCTTTGTTGGGGTATTGGCTGCTTGTAGCCATGCTGGATTAGTGGATGAAGGAATTTTGCATTTTAACTCGATGCATGAAGTGTATGGCATTCAGCCTAGCATTGAGCACTATGGTTGCATGGTTGACATATTAGGCCGAGCTGGTCGCATAGCTGAAGCAGAGGAGTTGATTCGGAAGATGCAAATGCCACCGGATCGTTTTGTTTTGGGAGGGCTTCTTGGTGCCTCTAGAGTCCATGGCAACCTTGAGGCTGCAGAAAGAGCAGCTCAACAGCTTCTAGAACTTGACCCGGACGATGATGGAGCGTATGTGCTTCTTTCAAACTTATATAGCTCTATGAAAAGGTGGGAAGAGGCCAAAAGAATTAGGGAACTCATGGCAGAAAGAAATGTGAAGAAAGCTCCAGGTTGCAGTCTGATTGAGGTTGATGGTATTGTCCATGAATTTGTGAAGGGTGATTCATCTCACCCGCAATCGACAAACATCTACGAAATGCTTCAAGATATGATCGAGCGGTTAAAGAAAGCTGGTTATGTTCCTGAGAAATCAGAGGTGTTGTTGGATATAGATGAAGAAGAGAAGGAGACTGCACTGTGCGTACACAGTGAAAAGCTGGCAATTGCATTTGGGCTCATAAGCACAAACCCAGGGACAACAATACGAGTTGTGAAAAACCTCCGTGTATGCAGTGATTGCCACACTGCAACCAAGATCATCTCTAAAGTTTACAACAGAGAAATTATTGTGCGGGATAGGAACCGATTCCATCGATTTCAGGATGGATCTTGTTCTTGTAAGGATTTTTGGTGATGTAGCTTTAGTTAAATATATTAAGATCCTTCAAAATTCTTGTTCACTCACGAATTCACACAGTTTTGGTGTAATTTTATATATTAATTAAGTATTAATTTGTACGTGGAAACTGCTACAAGACATATAACTTCAGAAAGTGGATGCGTGGACACGAAGTTCTGTGCGTGCTTGTATGCTGCACGTTAATAGTATCTTCACAAAAGAAAGACAGAAAGAAAGAAAAAGTATCACACCAGCGAAGCAGGGGAGGTTTGAACTAAACTAAAGATCCTCCCCTTGTCTTAACTATAATGATACAAAATTCAGTGTAAATGGAACTGACGATATATATTGAACTTCACAAACTGGATTTTCATTGAACGATGCACAATCCGCGGTACACTGTTCATATCGGCATTTGGCTATTAATATCTGTATAGTTGGAGATGAAATCTAACCAACAATGAACTGTAATGTATAACCCCATTGGGCCATCGCCAAACAGGTTGGAATCCCAAACTTAATTCAGGAAGAAATAATCTTCCTACCAATATTCTAAAGAAAAACATGAAAACTTTTGACACACATTGCTTTGGTTTTAATAGTCCTTGGGCTACGCAAGAGAGCACGCAACCATCATGTAACAGAAATGAATCAGACACCAAATAATTTCCAGATAAAAACAATGGCATTGTCATTAATCACTGGTGAAAAGATCAGCTGAAGTGCTCTCAGATATCAAATTGTAAGAACATAATTCGTGTGTAAACCAGATACAGAAATTCCTAAGATGCTAAATGCTAAAGATAAAACTTCAAACATGCACTGCCGCTTCACCAGTAGCTAAAATAAGACCAGGCAGGAATGGAATTCTCATATAGAAGCAAGTTTAACAGAAACTGCATTCCCTTGATTTTCTTCAGGAAAGTCATCACCATCATTCTCGCCGGGAGTCTGCTTAGACACTGTTGTTTCGTGCTGGGATGGAGTACTGCCAGCTCCAGTCACTGACTGCTGATAAAGAACACCCCCTACAATTGTTAAGAGGAGGCAGACCAAACCAAAAGGACTGGCATGCTTATCCCAAATCAGCACATTGATGGCAACCGTAAGAAACTTATTAACAACACCAGTCACTGTAAATGCTGTTGCAGAGATTGCCTTCCTAGCTGCAAACCCAAAGAAACTGATGAGCAATCCAAACACACATGACAGTGAGACTGCGAAAAGTGCACCAGGTTCAAAGAAATTCGCAGCATTCGATCCCAAAGCACCAAACACTTCAGCATACTCTCCCGTTATAATCCAAAACGGTGGGGCCATCATTAGTGACAACAGATTGTTGTACAACACAAAACCCCAGGTGTTCAACCCGAGATTAGTGACCATATGTTTAATATAAACCATCTCAGTTGTAATGGTCACCAAATATGCAAATGCCCATGAATAAGCGGTCAAAGTGAAACCCGAATCAGTGGCCACATAGCCAACAGCTCCGCCCAAAATGATCAACAACGACACGAAGGTAAGCTTAGATGGGATTGGCTGTTTCCTAAAGGCAGTATCCGCTAGCGCAACCAAAAGGGGTGTGCATGATCTAAACACTATAAACGTATCCACATTGGCATGGCGAAGAAGATTAGTGTTGGTAAAGATTGCAAGGTAGAACACAAAGGCAGCAGGCAAAAACTTCTTGGCCGTCTGGAGTGAGAAGGGATCATGGTGTAAAAATCCAAACTTTCCCAGAGCCCAAACTCCCAAAGCAGAAGTAAGGTATTGCAGTGCGGTCAAAAGGCCAGGGTAGTTGAATTTGGTAATGGCAAACTTGTTTATCACAGCTAACAAGCTGGAACAGAGTGCATACCCAACCACGAGACTGCTCGTGGCGAAGTACGGCTTAGTTGAATCAACTCTAATCGAAGACATTGAGACTAATTAATGCACCCAATTCAAATTCAGAGCAAAATCTAGCAGATCTTCAAAAATTTCAAGAACTACATATACAGTGAAAGACAGCACTATGAAAGGTTAAGTGAATGAGAATGAAGAGGCAAGAACTTCATAGAAAATCCAACATATGGGTATTGAAGATTATGCCGATCTGCTATACTGGTCAGGAAATTAATACATAAAACGACGATATATTGGATTGAAATGTATACATAGAGAAGAAATTGTACATCACCGACACAGAGAAAAGCACGGATCTTGAAGCAGAAGGAAGCAGAGGATGGCCTCGCTGTGGAGGCTGAGATCTCAGAGAGGGCCTTGGAAAGCTTAGAGAAGCGAAATGGGGGAGAAGAACAGAGAGAGAGCCTTGCAGAACAGGGAGAGAGACCGATGAAATTTCTATGGCGTTGATTTGTCGAAATAAGAAGATGGTGAAACGGCTTCGTTTTAAGAGTTGTTGGTTTTGGTTTGATTGGACAATGTCGTCGTGCGGGGGTTTATGTGTTAACGCCGTAGCTAATGGAGTGATATTTATTTAATATTAAAGATTTCTTGAGGAGGATCTCTAAAGATTTCCCCAATTAATGATCATGTAAGTGTGAATATAATAATATTAACAACAGGAAAGGTAAAGAAAAAAATAGACAAAACATGTTGTCAAAAAATATTCACACCTGCCTCACTGAATATAAGCCAAAGTTGAAGAGGGTTTGTAGGTTAGGTCGGTTGGTCAGGATAATAAATCACTCATTACATCTGAATTAATATTATAAAGTAATTTATCATATTGCGTGTATTTAAGAAAGGAAAAAAAAAAAAAAAATGAAAGTTGGTGCGCTAATCAAATTGTTGGGTCGTTTTGAAGCCTCCAAGTAATGCTCACTCTTGAAGCCCAATATAGGCCCAAATTATTGCAAGCTATTGACACATCAAATTAGGCCCAATATTAGAACCAAAGCAAGCAAGCAAAATCACAACCAACAAGAAGCCGAATATGCTCACCCAAAAACACAACGGTCAATCCTTCATGTTCATTTCCCGCCACTTCCTATCTGCCATTCCTCTTCCCAACCTCCTGTCACAACCCCACACTAACCAAAGCATCATGCATCCAATAAAGAGACCTCTCTACAAGGAGTCAAAGGCCGTTGGTTCTGCAAAATTGGATCACAGTGGTTTGCTGAATATCGCTTTACTGTAGGGGCTCTCCAGTATCTTACTTGGACTAGGCCTTATCTCTCATATGCAGTCAATCATGTGTGTCAGTTTATGCATACTCCAAGAGACCCTCATCTACAAGCAGTAAAAAGAATTCTGAGATACCTTAAAGGCACAATCATCCGTGGTCTTTTTATTCAAAGGCAAGCTACTAATGTTCTATCTATGCAAGCCTACTCTGATGCAGATTGGGCAGGTTGCCCTTATGATCGACGATCTATTGGAGGTTATTGCATCTTTCTAGGATCTACTCTCATCAGTTGGAGTGCAGAGAAGCAATCATCTGTGGCAAGATCCTCAACTGAAGCTCAGTACAGATCACTCACTTTAACAGCAGCTGAGCTTTCCTGGATTGCAAAGTTATTTGCAGATATTGGTTACAAACTTCCCTCTCTTTAAGTCTTATGGTGTGATAATATATCTGCCATAGCACTATCAAATAATTCTGTGTTTCATTCTAAAACTAAACATTTTGAGCTAGATTTCCACTACATTAGAGAAAAGGTTCTCAATCAAAAATTGACTGTGAAGTATGTTTCTACTCAAGACCAAATTGCTGACATTCACACCAAGTCTTTGAGCAAGCAACGTTTCCTTTTTCTCAGATACAAGCTTTCACTTCAGTCCCCTCCATTCAGCTTGAGGGGGTGTAAAGAGACCTCTCTACAAGGAGTCAAACAAGTCAAAGTTAGTTAGAATATTGATGTTAAGTCTGTTTAGACAGCTGCAGTTTTGATATGATCTGTTGGATATTGTTAGAGCACGACTCTTGTACAGTAAGCAAAGTCAGTTTTTAGTCTTTGTATAAATACTCGGATGTAATTTAATTATCATTAATGAGAATCTATATTTTCCTTTATCCAATTCCTTCAAAGCTGCAAATCCATGAACCAGCTCAAACAGATCCAGTCCCAGATGTTTCTTCTTGGTCTACACCAAGACAGATTCACCCTCAGCAAGCTCATGGCCTTTTGCACAGACCCATCTCTTGGAAACTTGAATTACGGTGAGGAAGTCTTCCATTACATCCAAAACCCATGTTTGTTCGTTTACAATAGAATGATTAAAGCGTTTGCTAAAAGGGGTAGTTTCAGAAGTGCCTTTGAGCTCTTTCGACGGCTGAGGGAAGAGGGCTTGTGGCCGGATAGTTTCAAGTACCCATTTGTTTTTAAAGCCATTGGATGCTTGAGAGAGCCTCGTGAAGGAGCAAAGGTTCATGGGCTTGTTGTAAAAAATGGCTTTGAGTTTGATGCGTATGTATGTAACTCGCTCATTGACATGCATACTGACTTGGGTATGGTTCGAAATTTTACGCAATTGTTTGACCCAATGCCTGACAGAAATTGGCTTTGTTGGAATGTTACGATTTCAGGGTATGTTAGGTGCAGGAGGTTTGGGGATGCTTTTGATATGTTCCAGCGGATGCGATGTGAGAGCAATAAGAAGCCTGATGAGACTACGGTGGTAAGCACCCTTTCGGCTTGCACAGCATTGAAAAATTTGGAGCTTGGTAAACAAATTCACGACTATGTTAAAAGTGAGCCTAAATTGACTACTCTAATCGGAAATGCATTGTTGAACATGTATGCTAAGTGTGGTTGTTTGAATGAAGGCCGGCGAATTTTTGATGCGATACCATCGAAAAACGTGATCTGTTGTACTAGTATGGTGTTTGGGTATGTAAATTGTGGTAGGCTGGATGAGGCTAGAGAGGTTTTTGATGTGAGTTCAATTAAGGATGCTGTTCTATGGACCGCTATGATTAATGGGTATGTGCAATATAACCGTTTTTTTTTTTGAGGCGGTGGCTCTATCCCAAGAGATGCAAATTAGAAGAGTTAAAGGAGATAAATTTACAGCGGTTACTCTCCTCACATGCTGTGCTCAGTCGGGAGCATTAGAGCAAGGGAAATGGATTCCCAGGTGCATAGATGAAAACGGAATTAAGATTGATGCAGTTGTTGGTACTGCTCTTACTGAAATGTATGCAAAATTTGGGTGCATAGACAAATCCTTGGAGATTTTCAATGGATTAAGGGAAAAAGATGCAGCCTGTTGGACTTCAATCATTTGTGGGCTTGCAAGGAATGGCAAGGCAAGCAAAGCAGTCGAGTTGTTCTCAGAAATGATACAGATTGGCATCAACCTTGATGACATTACCTTCATTGCTTTTCAAAGTGCTTGCAGTCATGGAGGGTTGGTTGACGAGGGCCGTAAGTTCTTCAACTCCATGAGAAAGATGTATGAAATTGAGCCAAAGTTAGAACACTATGCTTGTCTGGTTGACCTCCTTGGTCGAGCTGGACTGTTAGATGAAGCAGAGGAGATGGTAGAGTGGGTTCCAAGTGAAAACAATGAGATTATGATTCCACTTTAAGGTGCTTTGCTTAGTGCTTGCAGAATCCATGGCGATGTTGAGATGGGTGAAAGAGTAGCTAAAAGGCTAGCGGATATTGAATCAAGCGGCTCTAGTGTTCACACGCTTCTAGCCAATACGTACGCGTCTGCCGACAGATGGGAAGATGTAACAAAGGTGAGAAGGAAGATGAAAGATCTTGGAGTTAGAAAGGTGCCTGGAAGCAGTTCAATTGAGATTGATGGCATTGTCCATGAGACAGATATTAATATTGTGTTACACAGATGATAAAGCAATTGTTGGGTTTAGAAGAGAAGGGAATGGAAAGAGAAAACCTAGTTTTAATTGGTTTATGATGAATGAATGCAGATGTTCTAAAATTTTATGCCTCAATTTATATGTTGCATCCCTTGTCATATGACTGCAGCACATCCAAACCTAAGATTTGGATAATTACGATAAAAGTTCAAAGTATGCTCTTAATAACCTTTCACAAAAACTTAAGATAATATTGTAACGACCCCACCCCATGTCCCAATGGCATCTTGGGTACATGGAATGGAGCTAGCTAAATATGGTGCTAATCAAGTCACTGGTTATACTTATACATAATATAAAAGGTACGTACTAATTAATTAAGATGATAACAAGTAGTAGAGTCTAGGTAATTGATTATTTATGCAGCCGGAGCAAAGTCATAGTCTCCGTCGTCGTCGTCGTCGTCGTCCCCTTCTGAGCTTGTCACTGCAGAAGGGGCAAGACCCTCAAATTTAGGGTCATCTCTACCTTCTCCATCTGCATGCTTCTTGCTCCACAAGGCCATATTGTTCTCAGAAATGGGACACATTTTCTGTTTTTGTTTGGGAATAAAAAGAAGAATAAGAAGAACGCTGGATTTCGGGTTTCTTGAAGAATTTCTTTCAAAGGGGTGGTATAAGAAGTAGTTAGAAGGGGTGTGTGTGGAGAGATTGAGTCTGCAAGGTAATATAAGGTGAT